TAGTACGGATTGTCCTAGACAGTACCAGAAGAGTCCGGAAGCATAGCTATAGTACACGAGCAGAGAGTCCCAAATATGGTAACATACTACATAAGCGACTACAGCTAAGCACTAGGAGACGCATAGCCTCGTGTAGTCCGGACCGGATAAGTCCAAGTTCAACACTCCCACTCAATCCGTACCTACGGAAGAGCGTTCAGTGCCGAAGACCAACATCTTCACAGAACTTCTTGATGATTGTCAGAGGAACGTTCTTTGTGAGAGCATCAGCCAGCATGTCAGCCGTAGCGACGTAGAAGATGTCCACTTGTCCAGCTTCGTAGAATTCGCGAACGAAGTGATACCAGATCTCCACGTGCTTTGTCCGACGTTCGACTACCGGATTGACAGAGAGGAAGATCGACCCTTGATTATCTACACAGAGAGGGGTCGGCTCGCTCATGTCGTATCCGAATTCGTCAGAGAACGTCCTCAGCCACGCCATCTGTCTGCAGGTGTCAGAGGCCGCTTTATATTCCGCCTCAGTTGAGGAGAGTGAAATGGTAGGCTGACGCCTCGATGGCCATGATATGGCACCACCGGCTAACAGGAAAATTGTGCCTGAGGTAGAGTGCCGGTCGTCTCGATCTTCAGCCCAGTCAGAGTCCGAGTACGCAATCAAGCCATCGTTAGAAGCGCCGTTGTAGCGAATCCTGTAGGTGCGAGTGCCTTGCAGGTAGCGTAAGATGTATTTGGCATACTTCATGTGGTCGGGCGAGGGATTGGCACTGTACCGGGAGAGACGAGTGACAGAGAAGGCAATATCTGGTCTTGTACCGAGCATGGCATACATAAGACTGCCAATGAGGCTCTGGTAACGCGACTGTTCAGCGTCTGAGGCGAGTCCGTCGTACTTGACGAGAACAGCGCCCGCAGGAAGAGGGGTATTGGCAGGTTTACAGTCAGCCATCTCAAAACGCTCTAAGACAGACTGGACATAGTCCTCCTGGTCGATGTCAATGATACGTGAAGCACGATCTCGACGAATGCGAAGACCAAGGAAGCGCTGTACTGCGCCTAAGTCCGTCATTTTGTATTGGCGTCCGAGCGTCCGTTTGACTTGCTTGATGTGATTCTTGTTATCGCCGAAGAGGAGTAGATCGTCGACATAAAGAACCACAATGGTGACTGAATTCCCCCCATGTCGCCGATATACGTATACGCCGGCATCAGAATACGTCCGTGTAAACTCCAGATCAAGAAGGGATTGATGGATCTTCG